TTCTCTCAATTTTTGTGCTAGGGAATATGAATATTATCAAGAAGAGAGATGTGATTCAACCTGCTATAGGCCTCAGGATCAAGAATGTCAAGACTGCATATATTGATGACTTCTTAGCCATCTCCAAGCTGGACAATCCTGAATTTATTCAAGAATACATCAAGATGGCTAGGGAAGAGAATTGAGTGATTCTGACTATAGATGACATTCCTGAACCCCAGCAGGAAGTGTGTACAAGCCATTAAGAAAGAGGAAGAAAGTTTCTTCTGAAACTGAGAAGGAGGTTCAGAATCTACCTAAGAAGAAGGTTGTACAACACAAAGAGGTTCAAGAAGTGGCCTCTACAACTGTCTTGATGTCTACCTAGACAAGGAGTGGAGCCACTAGCAAAACACCTCAAAAGATAACCACTTTTGATCTGGTTGTGTTTGTGAAGAAGAAAAAGCTAAGGAAGATGGTGCTGCAAGGAGATGAAAAAGAAGAATAAGATGAAAGAGAAGAAGAAAATGAACAGCCTATGCTCAAGAGGCCCAATGCTGTGAAAGAATGGGCCAGATTGATTGCATCTGCTTTTCTCAATCAGCCTATGGAACAACCTTCTATTTCTAATGTTTTATTAAGGCAAGTAGAAGTTGAAGTTGAGGCGGAACCTATGGTGAAGGATGTCTGAAGGTCCTTCCGATATTGGTATTTCTCTTATGCCATAACAAGCTATAACTCAGGCTCTTGAGACTATTTAGGAAGAAGAGCAACCTACTTCAAATGTTGTAGAGATTATTCACACAGGTAATTATTTGAATTCTATCTCAGATAATATCTTAAGTTCTTCCATTTCTTCTCTTGTGACCAAATCACCAACACCAACGCCACCTCAATCACCTACAACTTAATCAGAACACACACTATCAACCAAACTCAACCAGAATCTTTCTCTAGGTCCTATCATGTCTTTCCCCAAAACCTACCTCAATTTGAACAAGAAATCCCAACTCAAACCATACCTGAACTTCAACCAAACCATGTTCAACCTCAACTTGATAATGATCTTGAACAAGTCCCTCAAAACCAACCTCAACCAGAAACCAGAAATGACCAAATTGTACAACAAATATACCTTGACCAACAAACTTAATCATATGGCCATTAATTTTCACCTTCTAGGGAAGTACATGTTGTGTCATAGTTTTGCACAATAGCTCTACCTAGCCCTTCTACATCTCACCCCTCTTTAAACCTATACATTCCACCTCATATTAAATACCAAATGGAAGAGTTTAAAACTGTTACTTTTTATAGAGTTTAGAATCTGGTTGTTGAAAGGCTCATTACATCTGATCCCATAGCTTATGCAGCCAAATGGGACACTCTCAGAACCATCGTGGATACTGTGTTGCAAAAATCTCAAGTATTTCTTATCTAATTCTATAGCTTCTTCTAGTCAAAAGCATGAAAATTTAGAGGAGAATTGGATTTTGTTGCTGCTACGCAAGAAGATATGGATGTCTATTTGAAGACTGTGATTGCAAGGATAGATGACACGAGTTCTGATCTCAAGGCTATCCTAGAGCTTCATAATCAAAATACTTAGGGTTTAAGATTTATCAAACCCCTTTATCTTGTCTTGTCAATTATTTTTTAACATACTTTTGCTACCTGACTCTGATTTTCTTTGGTTGAGTGAAATATTTTTCTTTAGTATCTTTTCTATTTCTTTATTTTGTTTTTTTTATGACAAAATGGAGAGTAAATATAGGAGTATTTAAGAACCTAAATCTGACAGTTATTATTTTTGCTTAAACTCTAAAGATTTATCTATTATGCTTTAAAGTTTAAATTTAATTAACATGGATAGAACTTAGAGGGAGCTAACAAACCTCACCCTTTGGACTATTAGACTCGGGGGAAGTTTACAAACCTCAGACCCTGAAGTCAACTTGTTAGTTAAATTAACAACCATTGTTCTTAAATACTTACGTTTGTCATCATCAAAAAAGCGGATATTATTGGGGGGAAATGGTTTGCCTCATATCCCTTGGATTTTGATGATAACAAAGTATTTAAAAAATAATTGGGTATACTAATATTTTTTCAAGTTTGCAGGACCATAGACTAAAATTTCAAGAATAATCCAAGTATTGACTCTGACTATGAACATCTAAAAAGAAGCTTAAAGATCAGATTCTGAAGGATCAGAAGCTGAAGTTCATACTCTAAAAGAAGTATAATTTTGAAGAAGTCAACGTCTAAAGACCAGAGTCTAAAGAAGTCAACGTCTAAAGACCAGACTTTTAAGAAGTCTGCTTCCGAAGATCAGAACCTGAGCCAATCAAAACGCAAGGACCAAGGTGACTCTGATAGTTCATTGTTAACCTCTGAGCCTACTTTGTCACGTGAACACCTAAGCTTTCTCATAGAGTCAGATGGGATGTATCTGATAATTCCTCTTGTAAAAAAGGTATTTCAAACAAGCTTTCAACGACATTAACCATTTGAAGAAATATCTCAATGTCTCTAATCAAGCTTCTCAAAGACTCTCTTGTGCAAGTTCTCTAACGACTCATTTCCTTCTCTATTTAAGGAACTGAAGACTTGAAGATAAAAAATATCCATTGACCTTCAAAGAGAAGTTACTCTATCAAAACATAAGTACAAGTTAAACTTAGAATTTCTTATTCTTGTATAACTTAGAAATTCCTAAGTCTTAAAGAGTCTATTTGCATTGTACTTTGTCTACACCTCTTATTGTATATCAAGGGTATTACCCCAAACAATATTTTATCTGTTAGGTAGATTGTTAAAAGTCTCTTACTGAGTGTTTGAGTATTTGAAGTCTATGCTTGTGTGCTTGAGCATGTAAGTCTCTTGCTTGTGTGCTTGAGTATTGAAAATCTCTTGCTTGTGTGCTTGAGCGTAAAAGTCTCTTACTTGGTGTTCGAGCATTGAAAGTTTCGTGCCTGTATGCTTGAGCAAAGTTTAATCTTGTGTGATCATAGTGAAAATCTCTTGTAAGTATAAGGGGACTGGATTACTCTCAATTTGTGAGAGGAACCAGGTTAACTTTGTGTGTCTCTCTTCTTTCTTGCATTACTTATCTGATGCCTACCTCTAACCTTTGATCAGTTCAGATTTTATACTTTGTGTTTAGAATCTGACTAGAGCTTAAAAAAAAGAAAAATTCAACACAATTCACCCCCTCTTGTGTTTTCCTCACCTTCATCATTCACCCTCGATAGACATCGAAGGGAACATATAGTTCAACATGCTTAAACTAAAGACAGATGATGATTTGAAGGTTATGTGGAGTACCATTTACAGTTACTCAATAAAGAGTCTGATTGAAGTGGATGCGACGATTCAAAAATCATCCGAAAATATTATAAGAATGTTGCAACGTCCTAAATCACCTGTTTTTAATTACATGTGATATTAAATTTATGTAATGTTTATCTATGTAATGTTTATTTTGACGTTAACTTATGTTAGTTTTCCATTCTGCCATTATTTCTGTCAATTTTTGTTTTGCACTAATAGAACATATTCTTGATATGCATCTCCGAAAAGTTCTCAGACTAATACACTAAGAAGGATTACGGATATGCATCCCTGAAACGCTCACCGACTAATGAACTAAGGAGTTTACGGAGATGCATCTCTAAATCAATCTTTTATGCATACGGAAATACAATAGAATTAAGAATTTCTCACCATTTTCTTCATAGTTGTGTGAAAAAATGTGTCTGATGATACATTTTCGGACGCTAGAGACATTTTAGTCTTTTCATAGTGGTTGGGGAGAACCCCTAAAAATGAAAAGAGCAATTCCCAAATTTTAAACCTTACAAATGAACATTACACACTTTGGCTTGAAAAAGAAAATGCTTTGAACTTTTAAAAAGTAAAAAACAATATTTTGAAAGGAAAACCTTAATTGTCTATACCTAACAACTCGTAACACATGAACGTGAAAATGTCTTCAAGAGTTCTTATATAATGGAATAGGGAGAAGAAAGATAGGTTCGATGATCTATAACAAAAAGAGAGAGAAGTTGAATGTAAAGAAGATGAAATTTTTACAAAAGTTCAAACTCTTAAAACGCAATTGTTTGATGTTTGTTCTGGTTGCTTATAGAGAATGAATGATAACATATATTGCTTAATTGCTTAATGTTAAAATCTAACATGTTATATATGACAAATAAAAAGCATATGTTCAAAAGCCTGACATAAAGCATGAAGAAACTTTGAGATTTTGAAGAAACCAGAAATGAGAGATCATTGGTTCTGGTACATCAGGGTATTTCTTTTTCTCTCTATTGAAATGTCAATTAGGCGACAATTATGACATAGTCTTCAATCCAAAGACATGTAAATCATAAGTTAGGAAGATGACTTAATCTTGTCCAATGGTGAGAGGAAAACTAATGTAAATAAAATCAACTTTTCGGATTTTTAAGCTCTGAATTTTTTTGTTTATGAATAACACTAAACAAACAAACTGAACTTAACTCTACCAGAAGAATCATTCCGCAAGTGATTTGCAGAGTTCTAGACTGAGAAGATACAATGTTATTTGAATTGGCCTATTTAACATTGAAAGTGACTCATAATAAAAAAATTTACCCAATAATGCCAAGAAAACATAGTTAGAACTAAACATGGGAAAATAAAAAACTAACCAACAGAAATTGTAAGAAAAATTGAAGTCCCTTAAAAATTAATCAGAACTAAACCATGCAACAGCCAAGAGAAATCAGCAATGTCATCATCACCAAAGTGGATGGAGAAAAAAATGTCATCGACATGTTCAGTCGGCAAAGACAACAATCTATAGGCAGAAGTCCTTTTATCAAAACATTGCCAAACAAGTCACTGTACAGGCAAACTTAACAACTAATTAAGGTTCCTAATGGCTGTACAAAAACAGATACAAATCAAACTAATGAAAAATAACCTAATAAACCGGCGTTGAGAGGAAAAGAATCTTCAAAATTTTCACCTCATCATCCTTCCTGCAAACCTGCATAAAATGTAGACAATTCAAAAACAATCAGATTTTTGCAATCTTGATAAATTTCATCATCACTGATAGCGCACATAGATTTTCCATATAATACACACGTGGGAAGTGAGAACCAGGTCCATATCCGTCACTTGAGTTGAAGTTCGCGGGATGCTGAATTGAAATTAAACTTTCATCTGCTACAACCGTAGTCTCAGGGGAATCTGTTAGCTCAACTGCTGCACTACTTGCAGATTTGATTCCTGCAAGTAATCTTAGCCACGTGAGTATCTCATTGCGAAAATACTTCAAAGTGAGATACTTATAAAACTTTAGAGTTTGTGATGCTTATGATAGGCAACTATGTAACAAATGCCGCTAATCATAGACATCCACTTATCTTGTATGAACCACAGACATAGATATTTGACACAACACTAACACATGGACACTGATATCAGTATTTAAAAATAAAAGTGATTTGTGAGATATTGGATCGAACTCTAATATAGTCGAAGTCTGTTCGTGAGTAATACGTATTATAGTCGAAGTTTGTTCTAACATGCATTAGTCAATATTGCTAGATTTGTTAGTATGATAAATTGGGTCTTGTTTGTAAGCCCAATTGTTTAAGTTACCTTATACCCTAAGTTAGTTTGTAATGGATAATTGTTAAAAAACTTATTAGGTTAGTGTGCTATTTTTCTTATAAATAGTATTCTAGTCTCTCATCTTGTATAAGAAAAAATAGGAAGATAAAATCCTAATTCAAGAGAGAGGGGTTACTTGTTATTCTTGTATATTTGTAATCTTGTTTGATAGATAAAGGAAAATAGCCGTTTATAACCAATCCTTGTTGTTTCTTTTTGTTATTTTTGGTTGTTTTTCCGTTAACCCCTAACCCTTGTGTGTTTCTTGTCTATAAAGAAATCGTATATATTTTGTTTCAAGGCATCCTATTCACAACAAATTGGTGCGGTGAGCGTGGAAAAGATGCATTCAACAAAGTATGAGATTGAAAAGTTCACCGGAGTAAACGACTTCGGTCTGTGGCGCTTGAAGATGAAAGCCCTACTGGTTCAGTAGGGTTGTTTGGAAGCGTTGAAGGGAAAGGCAGCCATGGACGCTGCTGCGTTCACGACAAAAGAAAGGACGGCCATGATTGAGAAAACCCACAGCGCAATATTGTTGAGCCTTGGTGATAAGGTTCTTCGATAGGTATCAAAGGAGACTACAACATCGGGATTATGGGTGAAACTTGAAAGTTTGTACATGATCAAATATCTGGTGAATCGACTCTACCTGAAGCAAGTTTTGTATTCATTCAAGATGAATGAAGACAAAGTGTTGGCTGAGCAGTTTGATATGTTCAACAAGTTGATTCTTGATCTTGAAAATATTGATATGAAGATCGATGATGAAGATCAAGAACTATTGTTGTTGTGTGCTTTGCCCAAAACACATGCTCACTTCAAAGAAACTCTCTTGTATGGAAGGGAGTCCCTGAGCTTTGAAGAAGTTCAATCAGCCTTGTATTCTAAGGACTTGAACGAACGAAAGGAGCATAAATCTTCGATGGTGGACGAAGGTTTGGCTATTAAGGGAAAATTCTTGCGAAAGGATGGTAAGTTTGACAAGAAGAAAGGTAAAAGTCAGCAGAAGTCTTATAGTGGCGAAACATCTGGTATTCGATGTTATCACTATAAGAAGGAGGGTCACACAAGAAAGGTGTGTCTTGAACGCCTAAAAGATCATGGAAGTAAGGATAATGGCAACGCAGCCATTGTTCAAGATGACTTCGACGCATCTGATGTTCTTGTGGTTTCATGTGGCGACTCAATAAAAGAGTGGATTATGGATTTAGGTTGCACTTGACACATGACTCCAAACAGAAAATTGTTCGAGGAACTATGTGATCAAGATGGTGGATCGGTGTTGCTGGTAAACAACAAATCTTGCAAAATTGCAGGTATTGGATCTGTGAGATTCAAGCTCCATGATGAATCAATAAGGTTATTGACTGAAGTCGGGTATGTACCTAATTTGAAGAGAAATTTGATTTCTCTTGGTGAATTTGACAGGAAGGGATATGTTTTTCAAGGAGAGAAAAATATCCTAAGAGTCATGAAGGGGTCGAAGGAAGTCTTGAGAGGCGTGAACAAACAAGGCTTGTATACCCTTGGGGCTGAGGTTGTAAGCGGTTCGACAAATGTTGCATCCACAAAACCTGTGTCGAAGACAAAATTATGGCACATGAGATTGGGTCATGTCAGTGAAAGAGGCCTGGTCGAATTGGGGAAGCAGAACCTGCTAGGAGGTGACAAAGTCGAAAAGTTGGAGTTTTGTTAATCTTGTGTATTTGGTAAATCCTGTAGGGCGAAGTTTAATAAAGGCAAGCAAAGAACACATGGATCTCTATATTACATTCATGCTGATCTTTGGGGGCCTGCAAAGAATCCTTCACACTCAGGTGCAAAGTATTTTTAATCCATCGTTGATGACTATTCCAGAAAGCTATGAGTATTCATCCAGAAGATGAATGATGAAACTTTTGAGAATTTCAAAAGTTGGAAGGTTCTGGTCGAAACTCAAACTGGCAAAAAGGTTAAGAGGTTGAGAACCGAAAATGGCCTTGAGTTCTGCAACGAAGCGTTCAACAGTTACTGTGTTGAGTCTGAGATTGCAAGGCATAAGACTGTAGTATGTACTCCTCAACAAAATGGTTTAGCTGAGAGATTCAATCTAACAATCCTTGAAAGGATTAGATGCATGTTGGTTAGTGCTGGGTTGAAGAATGTGTTTTGGGCGAAGACTGTTTCAACAGCAGCCTATCTAGTAAATAGATGTCCCTCGACTGCCTTGGGAATGAAGACACCTGAAGAAGTTTGGTCGGGACATTCACCTAATCTCGACAGACTGAGAGTATTTGGTTGCGTGGCCTATGCTCATATTAGGCAAAACAAGGTCGAACCTAGAGCTCTGAAATGCATGTTCATGGGATACCCTGAAGGAGTCAAAGCTTATAGGCTATGGTGCCTAGAACCAAGTCACAATCAGTCGAGATGTAGTTTTCAATGAAGCAGAGATGACTTTCAAGAAAACTAATGATGCTGACAAAGAGCTGGAACAGGGAGAGATTCCTGTTGAGGTGGAGTATGTTGATGTTGAATTGCGTATCCCAGATGAAGTCGAAGAAGACACAGAAGATGTTGTCGAAGATGAGAAGACTGATAATGACTATCTGCTAGCAACAGACAGGTCGAAGAGAGTCATGAAGCCACCTCAGAGAGTTGGGTATGCAGATCTTATAGCTTATGTCTTAATCTCTGCAAGTGAGGTTCTAGACGAAGAACTTAGAGACTATAAGGAAGTTATAAGGAGTCGAAAGAAGACTGAATGGCTGAAGTCATGGATGACGAGATGAAATCTCTTCATGATAACAAAGTCTGGGAACTGATCAAGAAACCTGCTGGAGCCAGGTTATTCAACTGTAAATGGATTTTCAAAGTTAAGGAAGGGATCGAAGGAGTGGCGTCGAAGAGATACAATGCAAGATTGGTCGCTAGGGGGTTCACTCAGAAAGAAGGTGTCAACTTCATTGATGTGTTCTCTCTTGTTGTGAAGCACAGATCCATTCGAATGTTGCTTGCCACAGTGGCACAGTTCAACTTTGAACTGGAACAGATGGATGTGAAGACAGCGTTCTTGTATGGTGATCTAGATGAAACAATCCTTATGAGGCAACCTGAAGGGTATGTCGAAAAAGGGAAGGAAGATTATGTGTGCAAACTGAATAGATCTTTATATGGACTAAAACAATCTCCTCGACAGTGGAATAAGAGATTCGACAAGTTTATGGCACGCATAAGTTTCATTAGAAGTCAGTTCGACCACTGTGTTCACTTCAGATTTCGACTTGGTAATTCATTTGTTATTTTGTTCTTTATGTGGATGACATTCTAATAGCAAGCAATAATGTCGAAAATGTAATATGGGTGAAGGCTGAACTCAATAAGGAGTTCGACATGAGGGATCTGGGAGCTGCGTCCACAATTCTTGGGATTGACATCCGAAGAGATAGAAAGCAGTCGAAATTATGCTTAGCTCAAGAGGCATACCTATAGAAGATTCTCGAAAAGTATGGTATGTCGAATTCAAAGCCTATTGTGACTCCGACAAACCCTCAATTCAAGCTGAGTATAGATCAGTGTCTCAGTACTGATGTCGAAAGAGCTTATATGAATAGCATTACATATGCTAATATAGTGGGTTATTTGATGTATGTTATGATTTGTACTAGACCCGACATAGCATATGCAAGTCTTGTAAGCAGGTACATAGCAAATTCTGGAAAGGCTCACTGGCAAGCATTGAAGTGGATTCTAAGGTACATAAATGGTCTCTGAATAGAGTCCTAATTTATGGTGGAGCCTTGAGTGAAGATAGTAAAGCAGCAATTGAAGGATATGTCGACTCTGATTATGCAGATTGTATGGATTTCAGAAAATCTATTTCTAGATATGTGCTCATTAGGTTTGGGATAACAATCAGTTGGAAAGCGACACTTCAGAAGGTCGTTGCCTTATCAACCACTGAAGCGGAATATATCGCCCTAACTGAAACTGTGAAGGAAGCATTGTGGCTTGAAGGTTTTGCAAAGGAGCTGAAACTTCAAGGTCAAGTTATCACTGTTAAATGTGATAGTCAAAGTGCAATACACCTATCGAAGAATTCAGCCTATCATTAGCGAACCAAGCACATTGATGTGAGGCTGCATTTTGTCAGAGGAGTAATCGAGCGTGGAGAAGTCCAAGTGCTGAAGGTTTCAACAGATCATAATGTTGTTGATATGATTACCAAGACGTTGCCCAGTTGCAAGTTTTTCCACTGTATGCAGTTGATAAAACTGCATGAAGAAAGCTAATTTCTTGATGTTATAGAGTTAGATCCAAGGTGGAAATTTGTGAGACAGTGGATCAAACTCTAGTATGGTCGAAACTTGTTCGCGAGTAATGCGTGTTGTAGTCGAAGTTTGTTCTAACATGCATTAGTTAATATTGTTAGGTTTGTTAGCATGTTGAATTAGGTCTTTCTTGTAAGGCCAATTGTTTAAGTTAGCTTGTACCCTAAGTTAGCTTGTAATGGATAATTGTTAAAAAACACATTAGGTTAGTGTGCTATTTTTCTTATAAATAGAATGCTAGTCTCTCATCTTCTATAAGGAAAAATAAGAAGATAAAATTCTAATTCAAGAGAGAGAGGTTATTTGTTATTTTTGTATATTTGTAATCTTGTTTGATAGATAAAGGAAAGAATAACAGTTTCTAATCAATCCTTGTTGTTTCTTCTTGTTTTTCTTGGTTGTTTTTTCATTAAACCTAACCCTTATGTGTTTTTTGTCTATAAAAAAACTGTTTATATTTTATTTAAGACATCCTATTAACAACATGATTGAATGTAAAGTGTTTGACACAACACGTATTATGCCTAGAGTGTCGGTGCTATATAGTTTATTCTTATAGTTTCATTTGAATAACGATGTACGAGCAAAGCTTAGAATCACTAATGCATTACAACTTTCTGCCGTTTCAGAGCAGAAAACCAGTAACTACAACAAGAGATTATAAAGGAATGACAATTTCCAACACATTGAAAGAACATAAACAAATTCTTAATTCTAAAGTAGGTTTCCAATGTGTCAAGATGTGTTCTATCATGATTCAATAAGGTATGCCAAACTAGTTCCCAACTATATTATAAATGTGGAAATTATGTAATTTATGTTTGGATATAATGTATATTCATTACCATAAAATCCACCATGTATAATGTGAAATGATTATTCAGTATCATGGTACACCCTCATAGCTGTAAAACAATAGATAAAAATCCTTTGCAGACGAGACGAATGTGAGCATGATAAGCACATATATATGTATATTGCATCAAATATGAGATTTCTAATTACCGGACAGGGAAGACAAACACAACATAGGAAGAGCTAATTTACCTTGGAGTATGATGACGAGGAAGAAAACAATAGTGATAACCATGGCAGAAAGATTTGTATACGATGACGTCGAAGATGATTTGCCTGCATTCATCTTTTTAACCGCATTCATTTTCTTAACCCTCGCGCGCTTCCTCAACGCAAGTTCAGCTAATTCCTTCACAAATCTATGATCACCAGCATGCAAAGATGGACCTTTAGGAGGCAAAGGTGGCTTTTGAGGCTTTCTTGGATTATTACTGAACTTATTCTTTTGTTTTCCAAGTTTTCCATTTTCCACCAACAATTCTAAATTATAATCATCTACACCAACAAAATCATCCGAATTTGAAGAACTACTACATGATTCAATTCCATTTTTACCCTTTTCTAATCCATCTGTATGCAGAACCCCATTCCATGACCAAGGAAAACCATTCTTTGAATCTCTCTCATCATTGCTTGTATCCTCTTCGCTTGTGTTCTCACCACTTTCAATGTCAAATTCAACGTCTTTCAATTGTTTAGTAGTGCGACCCATCTAATCTAAAATCAATATCATCAACAATTTTAAAAAAAAAACTATCTCACAATCATGCCAAAGATTCAATTTTTAACGATAAAAAACATCAACAAATTATTCAATAACAATGCATTCAAAAATGAAGATTAAGATGAAAATTGAATAGAAGATGAAGAAAAAAAAAAGTGGTCGTGGATGTACCTTTAGTCAAAGGGTAGAACCCTAGAAACGGTGGTAATCTTGAAACATTCCTACCTAGGAATCTATTGATGCACGCAGGCGCACTCATACACGGACAATAATAATACATTTTAAAGTACAAAAATATTTATTAAAAAAGACAACAATTTAAGGTTTTTCTGTTTTATTTTTAATTTAATGGCCAATGGTTTTTCTCTTGCTTTTTGATTTATTATTTCAAATGTTTTTAAAGGAGAGGAACGTCAATGGTTGAAACTTGTAGGGTGTTTTTATTAAGAAAAGTCAACAATCAACTAGGACTAGTATATTTAAGAAAGAGGTGCATATAATCTCTCATAATTGCCCTTTTTATAAAAAATTAATTATAGTTATAAAAGGTCAATTAAATGATTAATAAATAATCAAGTAATAACATTGTGAAGCATTCTCCTTCACTTATCTAAATCACTTAATAAAAAAATTTAGATTTTAAAATTTTTATGGAAAACTATTTTGCATAGTCCGCAAAGCTCAAGATGAAAACACGAGAAATATGTGTTTCTTCATTGTCATTGAGAGTAGGTAACTTCATTCTCTGACACATCACACATCGTCTAAATCAATCAAACAGTTGTATGTGTGGTGCATTGCGTCCCTCGTGAGCGATTTTAAGTGCTCCTGGTATATAAGGAGAAAAGTGTGTCATTCTCATGTATTCGAGTTCACTCTCACTCCCATATTACTGTGTTCCATTATGGAACTATAGTTGGTGTTGGTTGGTGACGTAGTGAAATTATGTTCCTCAAGGGATAGATGTCGAACACAATATCCTAGACAGCTGGTTCGACAAGTTAAAGTAGAAACACTATAATAGAAAGTTCTAGATGATGGAACAGAAAAGTAGTAGATAACACGATAGCTGGTTACCCAGTTCGGTGAAACTACACTTACGTTTGGTGGCTGAGTCCACAACTAAAAAAAGGAAATTCACTATTAGTAGTTTAGTACAATTAATCTTACAAGCAACAACAAACTCTATATTGTTCAATGCCTCTTCCTAACACTATCCAATGACTTTCTATTTAGGGCTCCCTCCAAATAAGAGAACCTATTCACTTTCTTCTCAATCACACAACCTGTGATTGGAGATTACAACTCAATAATCAATGTTGAGTACTACCATTTAACTTTAGACAAACACTATACACCAAGTTACTGCAACGTAGAAGTGTACATACAGTAATAACAAGGACTCAAAAATAGACCATAGCACTCTAAAATCTTTAATGTATTCCTTGACTTACAATGTAGGTTTTGAGCTCCTTATATAGCATAATAATTTTGGAATTTTCTTCATGGATTTGAGATTTGGTTTTGTTTAAAATTAATGCAGAATTTGTTGGATATTATCTATTCCATAAATATCTTCAACAAGATATGATTTGTTTCAATTTAAATCTTCATTTAAATCTGAATCAATCTTCGGTCAGTTGTTAAACAAATCAACTAATCATATTGCTAAGTCAATTAGTAATAAAATCTGATTCAATCTTTGACCAGAAATTCTTCCAAAACGCAATAGTATTGACCTGTTGTGTAAGACTCAGATCTCGTACTCATGCTAGAGCATCGCGTTCATCATATGTCTCTTCTGCACCTTCATACAGCTTAAGCAAGCTAGATAATCTTGAACACTTTTAATGCTTCTCCATTTTATGATCAAACAAATACTTCAAACTTTTATGATCACTAAAAAACTCAAAAATCGAACCATACTGATGATGCCTTCAAACCTTAAGCACAAATACTACAGCTGCCAACTCTAAGTCATGGGTAGGGTAATTCCTCTCATGAGTCTTCAGTTATCTCAAAGCATACATAACAACCTGACTATTCTGCTTAAGCGCACAACCTAAGCCCATTTTAAAAGCATCACAATACACAACAAAAGATTCTTTCGCATCTGTTAAGACTAAAACTAGCACTGACGTCAGCGTTTTCTTCAACTGTTGGAAATTTTCTTCACACTGAACATCCCACATGAGCTTGTCCTTTCCAAGTCAACTGAGTTAAGAGGAAAGCTAATTTCGAAAAGACTTATATAAATCTTTTATAGTAACCAGCCAACCCCATAAAGCTTTTGATCTCTATACCTGAATTAGGAGTCTCCCACTATAGCATGATGTCTACCTTGGACGTGTCAACCTCTATTCCACCACTGGAGATTACATTACCACGGAAACTCATTTCTCGCAACTAGAATTCACACTTGGACAACTTAACATACAAATTATTCTCTTGCAAAGTCTGTAACTTAACTCGCATATGTCCTGCATTATTTTCGTCTGATTAGAGTACACCAAAATAGCATATATGAACACCACAACGAGTTGATTCAAGTAAGTATGGAAGATCTTATTCATATACTCCATGAACAGACCTGGGCATTAGACACACCAATCGGAATCACCGAGTACTCATAGTGATTGTATCGCGTTCTAAACGCAATCTTCAAAATATCCTATGACTTTACCCGAATCTGATGATAATCTGATCTCAAATCATTCTTGCTAAACACACAAGCTTCAATTAATTGATCCATAAGGTCATCAATCCTACTAAGCAGATACTTGTTATTTATGGTAACCTTATTCAGATATCAATAATTGTAACACCCTGTATAATATATATCTAAAATAATACTATACAAGAGTTATTATCTGGTACTGACACCAATCATAAGTGCCTATTGGCATAATTTACGTACTTGACCATTTAAAACACATAAAATAACCTATGGTACAAGATTTGGAAAGTGCCAAAATAATAAAACTAAGATCTAAGTACAATATCCTTCATTGGACGAGATACATAACACACAAATGCACAACGAAAAAAGCATAATCTAAGGTTCCCTTAAAACATCCAAGCATAGCTCCACTTGCAAACTAAACCTGCAACAATACTTGAAAAACAACAACAATAATGGGGTGAGATAATAATCTTATTGAGTTCCCCTATCTTATGGGTTCACTCGGCTCTACAAGGTTCTAACCAATTTTTGTCTTAAGTCAAAAGGGAAAGAGAATAAGACTTAAGTTCACACAATTTGCAATGTATGAAAATATGCCTCTTGAGTTCACCAACTCAAACAATCACTCATCGGAAACCCTACCAAGGCATCCCTTTTTCCTGTCCTCTCCTGCGCCTAGGACTTTCGGCTTGGGTCATGGATCCTTGTAATCTACTTTGGCATATGAAATGGATTCAAATTCAAGGTTATTCCCACATGAATTGTCGATTCCCATGGGACCGCTCCCCATCTCAAGCCTTTTACCTGTAGGCTCAATTCGTACTGACACAAGGGATAAATGAATGAATTCATATTCAAGGTTATTCCCACATCAATCGTCACTTCCCATGGGACCACTCCTCATCTCAAGTCTTTTGCCTGTAGGCTCCATTCATTTATGGGATCTCCTGCCAAAGTAATAGTGCACACAAATATGATTATATTCGACAATCACAAGGAGACACATTCACCTTATTCACAAAGTAACACAACCTAAGCATGTTCCATACAAAGCTCTCCTCACAACTAGATAATTACTTACCAATGATACACACCTAGTCATCCTTGAACAAGCATTGCCATCTATGTTATTTTCTGTTTTATTAAAAAAATATTCTGAACACACATAACCCGCTTTACTAGTAACAAGTATCCGAAAGAACAAAAGGAATCCACTCTCTCTTGCATTATGGATTCAAACTTCTAGCTATCCAACTCTCAAGTTCTTGGTAAATCGTATCGAGAGTAGGCGTGCCAACCTTGATCGCAACTCCATATTTGTCATAAATTTGCCCCTCGCACTTGATTCCGGATATCCTCAATAATTAATTGTCATGGTATCATATGAGATTCTTCACTGTCCTAGAATCCTCTTATTGATTTGCCAAGTCCAATATAACCCCCAAATGTAAAATCAATATGAAACCTTACGTCATTGAGACATGACCTACGTTTTTGACATATTTAATAATGAGCCTGAGAGTTATCTCCACTTGGAATTACTGCATCTGCACAAGTTGGTTAGTCGCAAAAACATAAATATTAAATTACATTCAAATAACAATAGAAATTGCGCAAAAGGAGGTGGGATCTTACGGTCAAAAATTAGGGTGCGACACTATCAAAGAGTGCGCCTAGCCTAAAATATGTTGCCTTTACCAAGGCAATTATCAGTAGGTTTCAGATTCCCTTGAAAACATAATTCATTGATTCAACGAGGTTAGTTGTCATGTGGCCCCATCGCATCCCATTGTCGTATGCCCATGTCCATTTCTCTTTGTGAATGTTATCAATCCATCTTAATGCATCCATATTTGTTAGTCTGATCTCGTCACGGTAGTATTTGAATGTGGGTTATGTTAGTGCATATCATGCGTTCGCAACCTTCTTTCGTAGCGTCTTGTCTGTGATTTCCCGCATGAAATTTTGGGCGATATGTCTTATGCAATAGACGCGGGTCGAGGGAGGATCCTGCCAACCGTTATCAAGGTTGTTGTATGCACTCTCGATTGATGGGTGTCTATCAGAGATCAAATATAAGTTAGGTTGTGGAGACACGTAAAAGCGGAGATTTTTTAAGAAAAAACTCCAACCTCCAGCAGTCTCCCCTTCAACTATAGCGAAGGCTATTGGAAAAATATTGTTGTTCCCATCCTGTGCCCCAACCATGAGTAGGGTGCCCTTATATTTCCTGTATAACCATGTGCCGCCAATTTAAATTATAGGTTTGCAATACACAAACCCTTTGATGCATGGTTCAAATGCC